TCTATATACAACTGTTGCAGAACATGAAACATACACTGCTCTATCGCCTTTATTAATCATGCCATGTTTCTCGATCCACCATGTTTAAAATTCTCTATTACACTTACTATCTTGTACTTATTTGTTTTTTGCTGAACTAGCCATGTTAAATAACGGTTAAAAAACGTAACTATGACACAAATAAACTTTAAAATGCAGTTGTGTCAACAAAATTTACTATGCTATGCGTAGACAAATTTCGCATCATTAGCAATTGTGGTCCATGACTGAACTAAGGCAAGAATATGAAAAAAAGAGTGCGCTCCTTCCGCAGCACGACTAATCACTCGTGTTTGATCGTAATACTTCACAGAGAACTTTGTCATTTTGAACTAAAATACAAACCATTTTGATCAGTGGCGTGTCTAAAATACTGTGACGCGTGCCATTGGTTCGCCATCCCTGACCTACATGCATTGGGCCTGCACTTCTGGCTTTGCTCCAGAACGGGGAATTTTTTTTACTATTAGAGCACCCTCGAGGTTAATTCACAAGCTGACTGCAACAGTCTGGCGATTCAAACTGTTGCACTTCCATTTATAAACATCATTCAAGGGATGTTTTTCAATAGGATAACGTGCTCCCTCATACCCTGTTGTAACAATTTTTCTCGTGCTTACATTAATTAATCTGTGATCTTGAAACTTTAATCAATTAAATATGTTACCAATATAAGTGCATTGCCGAAGTTTCATCAGTCGACAGTAATTTTTTCTTGCACGGCTGTAAACTAAAAACGAGAACTTGCTTGACTTGAATAGTATTGGTTTGTTCAAAATAAAATTTGTGCAAAAAAAAAAAAAAAAAAAACGCAGGCGAAAATTTTATAAATTGCACCAATATAATACGAAAGGAAGAAAGAATACGGAAGAAATAATACGGAAGAAATACGGAAGATAATACGGAAGAAAGATGGCTAGGGCTGCTACACGACTCAAATCCGGGAAACTCATCGGTATTGCAATATCGATTCAAGACCTTTTTGTTGTACGTTAAATTTACAAATGGAATCCATCAAGCTTGGCACCCCTGCTGCCACTGGGAGCCCCTGGCCAGGTCCACCACCCGCTTAATCCGCCTGTGTTCCTTTGGATAAATATTTAGAGCGAATGAGTGGTTAAACTGTGTCTGGATTCGTCAAGGAGAGAATTCGGTACTTTTTGCTCCTTAAGCACGCAACTTAACGCTGGACCAAAATGATCACTTCAGTCCGGGGGCTGTTACTGGCTTTAATAGATACCACCGCCGCACACTCCCTTATCAGTGAGTTGGCAAGCGAACGAACGATATAGTTTTTATGGTGAGCGTGGGAGTTGGTGCTATTGCGTCATTTGGATCTGACACGGCTTGTATGCAGCGTCAAGTGTGTCTGACGATTTTGGTTGCAATTGCGGTGGGTAGATGGCACCACGACAGCTACGTAAAGGTTGTGTTTTTATTTGTTCAGCGTCAGGGTCACCAATGAGGGAGAATAGAACTCGTGACCTTCTGTTCCGTAAGCACGTAATTTACCGCTGGATTAAAATTTTTACTTCAGACCAGAGGCTGAAGACTGACTTATTTAGATACCACCTCCATGGTCTCTCAGTGATCCGTGGTCTAACTCTTGTGTCCTTTGTACCATACTAAACGGGCTCTTCTCTACTTAAAACTGAGCTGGAAGCAGACATATCTCTATCGCACTGCTTTCTGGAAGCAGTAACCCCTAAGACTTAGATTCTTGTGGCCACATAAATTTCGCGAAACAGCTGAGAAGTTGTAGCCCCCTTGTTACGTCTTGCTGTATGGAATAAATACCTGTCTTAATTGATCATGAGGGCTCCTAGACGACCTAGCTTAAGTTTTCCCTCTTGGGATCCGGTCTTTTTAAACTGCTTCCATACGTTGCACACAACACTAGCCGTTACTTTAAAAACTCTAGCAATTTGCACGTGAGGCTGTCAAACTCCTAGTCTACTGTAAATTTGATTCATTTCATAATATGTTCGCGAATACTCATTTCAAAAATTTGATCTTGAATTTTACCGACTGTTGCAAAATGGAGACAAAACGCCCAGGAGAAGCGTTGAAATTAGCAACAATGCTTACAAGCTTATTTCCTTCAAAATAAAACTTAGACGCATATATACGCTTATGAAAATCATAACTAATAATTCGCTTGAAAGCTTTAATTTAATCTTTCAGTACTTTTTGAGAAATTGGACTAAATGTACAAATTCTCTTCATTTTGATTACCGCAAAGAGAACGTGGATTTAAAAAGAGTTTCCTAGAAAATCTTTAGACAAAATTTCCGATACTTTCTTAAATGGTTTTGAAAATCTAACAGCCATTTTATTCTACACATTTATGCGAATCAAGAATTTTAGCGTTATTTTCATAATCCAGAAGGGTAAAAAAATATCAACTTTGAAAAACGTTTAAGGAATTCCATATTTAACTTAATAAATATTCATCAAATATATTATTAAATATCTGAATTTCATTTTTTTACTTGTATTAAAAAAATTGGGAATGGTTTAAATTCATAATATCAGATTATATACTTTTGCATCCAGAATCGTGAAAATATTTTGCAATTGATAACTTATGGGAATCCTTCACATGATTGTTCAAACTTAATCACGTGTGTTACATGTTATATTACCATATTCACAAATTATTTTCGTACTTTAAGGTTTTGTAATTTGGCAACAATATCTTGGTAGCTCTTGTGTTGCTCCTATCACTTGCTCTCACTTCAGTCTCACATTGGGGCGTTAAGTGGAGTTGTTGATAGCGTTATATCCTGAGAGAAGATCGTATTTTTGCTACTTGTCACAATGTTTAGTTACTTAACGAAAGATACGCGACGGCACCAGCCCGATCTGTACAATAATGTTGTAGAAGGTTTGAAAAAAATTTATAAACTGAAAATTTTACCTTTGGAGGAACATTACCAATTTCATGAATTTCATTCACCACCTTTAAATGATGCAGATTTTGAGGCTAAACCTATGATACTCTTGGTAGGTCAGTATTCTACTGGTAAAACTACATTTATTAAATATCTCTTAGAAAAGGATTTCCCTGGTATTCGTATTGGTCCAGAACCTACCACTGATCGTTTCATTGCTGTTATGTATGGTGAACAAGAAAGTGTTATACCTGGAAACGCACTTGTCGTTGATCCTAAAAGGCAGTTTCGCCCACTTAGCAAATTCGGAAACGCATTTTTAAATCGGTTTCAATCATCAGTTGTCAACTCAGAAGTTCTGAAAAGCATAACTATCATAGACACTCCTGGTATCTTGTCTGGTGAGAAACAAAGAGTTGATAGAGGTTATGAATTTACTGGTGTACTGGAATGGTTTGCTGAAAGGGTTGATCGAATAATTCTTCTCTTTGATGCTCACAAATTGGATATTTCAGATGAGTTTAGACGTAGTATTGAGGCACTACGTGGTCATGATGATAAAATTCGCATTGTTTTAAATAAAGCAGATATGGTTGACTCTCAGCAATTGATGCGTGTATATGGTGCTCTCATGTGGTCTCTTGGAAAAGTTCTCAACACACCTGAGGTGGCTCGTGTTTACATTGGTTCATTTTGGGACCAACCACTCAACTATGATGCTAATAGAAAATTATTTGAGGCAGAAGAGCAAGATATGTTTCGAGATATTCAAAGTCTGCCAAAAAATGCTGCTCTGAGGAAATTGAATGATCTAATCAAGCGAGCAAGATTAGCTAAGGTATGCAATTCTAATCTGTCTTTATAAATTTTTTTTACAGCATTTAAAATGGTATCAATATTAATCTTAATTTTAATGTAAATTGATGATTAATATGGTTCATTTTCACCATAATGTAATATGAATGAATTGGTCAATTAAAATAATCTTGTTCAATGTTACAATTGTTTCTTTTGAACTTTTCTCAGTGTCTATTCATGGTTTTTTCACAAATCTTATTTTTTCTACACTAATGCATTTCAATTAATAAGCAGTAAATTTTTTTGAATTTGTTATGTACAAATAACGTGTTATGTATATTGAATATTTTTAAATAGTAGAAAGCTATTGTGGTGTGAGGTATTGCTGTATATCGTTCGGTTATGGAACCATTTTGGCATTTTAGACTAAAAGGTTTTTTTCTCATACTGTTACATTCGTCTGCTTCATTAATTTATTACACAGCTTTCGGAAAAAAATTCATATTTTTCAAGGCAAAGAAGATTTTAAGTTTTAAAAATTACTCTTCTTGAATGAAATTGATTCCTTTTTACCTGTTATATTATGTCTTTTAAAGACCCAGAAACAATATTTAATTCTTAAGGAATTTTGCTGGGCAATTTTTCCTGCCTGTAGATTCCTACCTAGCAGATAAGCATTTAAAGCATTCTTTCAATTAAAAAAAATTGATTTTTTTTCAAAGTTTTATTCTCTGTTGAACAGTTTCACCCCATTATTAAAACACTTTTTAAAAAAAATTTAAATGTCCTATTTCAGGTCAAGAATGAACCAATTTATTGTAAAAAAAAATGCAATTTGATTCCATAATAAACTTGTTGATAAAAGTTAAGTGTTTCATACAATATTGTAAAATACAGGTGAGATTCAGAATTTTATATACTTTTAATTCACTTAAATACATTATTTTTATTTTTTAATTTATCAGTCATTGAAACATGAAGGTAATCTTTGAGTGATAGAAATTGGCTTTTCTCTTTTAGTCTTGTTTCCCTTTTATTTTACTTTTTCAATTCCTACTATTAGTTCACACTCTCCCTATGTATATACATTTATATATGTTCAAATTTTCTATTCATCCATTCAAGTTCAAATACATTTTTTGAACTCGTAGTGGATGACACATGTTGTTAATACAATTTTTTCAATTAATTCATTAATTAAATTAAAAAATGAATAAATAGTAAACAAAAATAATAGTTCAACAGCATATATAGAAAAAAAATCGTTCGTTGTATCCCTGTAGGATGGTGTGTTGGACTTCTAATCCAAAGGTCGTGGGTTCGAATCCCACCTGAAAAGGCCTAATTCCTGAGAATGTGATTTCATTTTTACTGTACTATTTTATTAGAATAATTAAATTTAATGAATGAATAAATTGTAACAAAAAAAAATAGTCTTGCTCCATAAAAGGAAAATGGGAAAATTTCAAGGAAAATCACTTTCTATTTTGTCACTTAACATTGTGATTCTGTCATATGTATATAAAAATTTATATTAATTGTAACTATTTAATAAAAAGTAAAAATAAAATGTTTCATTGCTGACTAAAGTAGGAATTAAAATTTTTTGTTTATATTTATTTTTGAAATAATGCTTAAGATTTTCTTTAATGGTAATTTTTTGCCCATATTTGTTTTTGAATATTCTAAAATTTGGCATTCTTTTTAAAACTGACATTTTAATGAAATATGTTGCTGTACTTGTTTCGTGATTGGGGGAAGAGAAGAAAAATGGGCACTGTTTACTTTTATGGGTCTTTGATTATGAAATTTATGAGATTTTGTTGAAAGAACATTATTAGTCAAACGAATAACAATCTTGAAAGTATTTTCTCTTTGCTCATTTTTGAAAAGTGATATCTCGAATTATTTTATTATTATGGATTATAATTAAACGAAGCTTTGGTTTTTAGCAAAAGTTAAAGGAATGTAACTTATTCAATAACTTGTTTTTATAAAAACAGAATTATAATAAACATGTTAAGTACCTCGATAAAAGGATTTATCCTACCTATTCAAATTTTATCTAAAATATATTATTCCAAAATATATTCATGCAGTAATTTGCTATTTGTACCCAAACTTTTGATAAAAATTTTCTTTTTATCCCCAAGTTATTTAATGGCAAAAGTAATGTTACTGTTTTATAGTTCTGTAAAAATTTATAATATTAGCTAATTGTCTGAAAATATGAGGATTTTTAACCAAATTTGCTCATTTTGTTATGTCATTTAAAAAAAATATATTATATTACAGTTTATCCATTAGTAATTCTTTAAATATTAATCCGGATGAATATACAAAAGCTTTAATGATTGATTTGGGGATGTTAAACCTGTATGGGGGGGGGATATATTAATTCTACATATTGTTAATTATAGTTTTTCAATGGAACAGTTAGAATAAACTCAATAATAGAAGATGTGTTAGGATCTTAGGAATTTTTTATCTGACTATAAAAATGCTGGGCTAAATAAATAGATTGTGTGTTATATTATTCTCTATTTAGATTATTTCCTTGCTTCTTTTTGTTTGAATTATAAGTGAATTAGTAGTTCTAAAATATTCTTCACATGTTTGAGTGCAAAATTTTGAAGTTACATTTTAGTAATGTAAAGATGTTGCAGTTTCATAAATTTGAACATGTTTTAAAAATTTCAAAAAGGGGTAAAATATCTCTGTTATATATTGAAGCCTTAATAATGAGAATTATGTGTAAAATAATAAATTGAGTTAATCATTAAAATTGTATTTTGAAAAGTTGGATTACTACCTATAAAGCATCAACTCATCTTAAGGTATAACTTTCAATTATCTAGAGATTATCGATAAAAATGCTCCAGTATTACTAAAATCTTCTTTCACAATCATATTGAAAGTAAATTTTAATCATTTTTATTAGTTCAACATTATTTTTTAACAATATGCAGTATATTCTATATTTTGTCTCCTATATTGTAATGCTACAAGGTAGTAATGTACACAACCATCACTTTTGGGGAGGGAGGGGAAATAATTTTAAAAACAACAACACTTAGATGAAAGTGAGGATGAGTAATCTTCATGCCAAAAAATAAAAATTTGTTGATCTATAGCATGTGGGGGGGGGGGAGAGGATTATATTATAACATTATAGAATTCTCCCTTAAGTGAGTCTTAAGTTTGGGCTTTGTCCTTTAACATTAAGGGAAAACTGCCTGAATTGTTCAACTCTTTTGCCTAATTTAATTTTTAAGTCTGTTACATTTTAGAAGAGTTCTTGTGTGTGCTTTTTCACAAATTAAAAAGATAAACATCAGCAATTTTGCTATGTTCTGCTTTTTTCCTTTATAATATGGCTGTTGATAATGGGAATGACTTCAAATGCTTTCTTGTCTTTTCTTTTTTAGATGTAAAATAGCTTATCATATTAAATTTACAATATATTGGATATATTTTTTCCTTGGGTTTTTCTGGCAGAATGTTTGTCTGCTATTTGTAATATTTAAACATAAGGAGAGTTCTAGACATATTGTACAATAATATAGAAAATGAACATTATGTAACATAGACCTGTTAGATCATTACTCCTGTTTGATGCGAAAATCATTATTAAACTTAAAATTTTTGTAATCACAATTTTTTTTAAAAAAATTTCCCTTACAACCAGTTGGTTTTGATTATTGTAAGTTGGATTATGTTTTCATTTTTAAGAAACATAATTTTGATAGAAAATTTCTAGAACTTGCAATATTTTATTTTTTGAAAATGCGATTGTCAATTTCTTTGGTTTAAAAACATCTTATTCACACTTAAGAGCTGAAGGTTTAATAGTATTAGATATAATGAGAATAAGTTACCTTCCTAAATAAAGGAATCTACTTTTTAACGTGTTCGAAAAAATGGCTAATTAATATAAAATAACTTCAGTTCTTGCCTACAGTTAAAACATCTTAAAATAAACCTTATTTTCATTTTCCTCCTTGTTCAGCATTATACAGTAATATCCCGAATTTACGATAGGTGGGACCGAGTAATAACCGCGTAAGTCAAATTTTCGTCTATCAGTCGGTATATGATTTCGCATATAAATATATATAGAATTTATTAGAGGCTGGAAACGAAAGAAAATAATAGTTTAAAAAAAATATTTTTAGTAAAATGTTGGGCACACACATACAAAATCGTAAGCCGAAGTTAGTTTGATGTAGAAGGTTTCATAAAATCTTAACAAAATAGTCTGTCAGTTCTAGGATTTTTTTCTCCCGCAAAATTTCCTCAGCCTACTAATTTTTTTATTCCTTTGTTTTGTTGGAAAAATATGCTCATCATTCGAGTCTATATTTTCTAATATTTGCAACTCTTTTTTTCAATTTCACTCTGAGGCCTTCAGTCAAATTCCCAACCGTCATTTGATCTTCTGATTGAACTGGGTTTTAAGCCTCAGACTTCAACGTTTTGCTCTTGCTCGTGCATCAATTGTGAGCTCCTGATAGTGGGAATTCAGAAGTTTTGGAACGTCAACTCTCTATCCTCTTCTAAACTTATTAGCCTGGCAAGATTGGCAAATACTTCAATCACATTACTAATTTCACCATGTTTTCCCCTCAAACAGAAGACTAGATTTGAAAATCGCGTTCCAAATTCGCGTAAATCGAGGCATTACTGTACTTTATATTTCTTTGTAGCTTAGGAGATTTTGTAAACTATTTTTTCCACCCCTCTTACAGAAAACTTATTGATACGATTTTCGAATTGGGTGAACGATATTATCTCTCGTACTCTCAAAATATTGTCAAAGTTACGGACTCGTGGCCGGCGTGTTACGAGTTCGAGCCAGTAGTGTTAAAGACCCGCCGTGTAGGGGAGGGGGTGATGCGCGTTCAATCTGTTGATGCTCAAATGTCCTCTCATGGTGTAGTGTGGAAGTTAGGAGAGGGGGGTAGCTCAAGTGTCGTTCTTGCCACTTGACCATGGCTTAAAATTACGAGGTCCGTCGCCAAAACCCCACAAGTTGCTGAATAGTGCGGCGCGTTAATATTCACTCACTCAAAATATTATAAGATCAACTTATTTAACAAAAGCTAAATTCCACAAGCATGTACTAAAATATTTTATGGTTGTTGAGTGGAAAAATAAAATTATATGCTTATTTATATAAAATTACGTGGTTTTGTATCATCCAGTCATAAATATTTGCCGGATGCTACATTATTATGCTTTTTTATGAACAAATCGAAATTTGAACTAATAAAATAATTCGATTTGCCATTTGTGTCAGTGGTCGACAAAATAGGTTGGGTTGGAATTTTCTGATGGAAAATATTTTGGGTTTTAATAATCAAACCAACTTAAATATTTTTTGGAACATCTTCTGAGTTGACTCATTCTACAAAATCTCTGTATAAATAAATAAAAAAAGATTCATTTTTTTGGTTTGTTCTTGTCATTAAATTATGTTTTCGTTTCTCAAATATTTCATATAAACCACATTGAATTTTTCTCAACAAATTTATTTAGTACAGATACAAATATTTTTATAAATAAATTTTTATTTTTCATACAACTCTTCTCTTTGCGTACTTTTGTCATAAATCTTAAAAATATCTGCTTATTGCTACTATTTATGAAAAATCAATTTTCTGCTCGAAAAATCTGCAGCAATATTTGTTCATTGCAAAATTATATACCTTTACTTCTTTAATATGAATCAGATTAATTGAATTCTTTAACTATGTGTAACTCTTAGTACTTATGAAATTGTGCATAAATTTTGTATTTTCACTTTTCGATTCTCATAGTTTTGCATAAATATTGTAATCTCTTTCGGTTAATTGGTTATGTTAATTTTAAAGAAGAGAAAAACGCAACAATCTAGCGATGAAAAAACGAAAATCATGCTTTATGAAAATTATTAGTTGATTATTGTATGTTACTCAATTAAGACTTAAGAATTTTTATAAAGAATGTGATTCTGTTTTTTGTTAATTGTTGAAAATTTCCGAAATTTAAGAGTGTAAATTTGACGATCGAGGACTAACATCCTTTAAAAAATTATTTACCTAATATTAAAAAGTTCGTGTTTTATTCAATAGAAAATTGATTCCCCCTCCTCCAATTAATTCCTGGATTCAATTACAGAAGCTTCAACTTTTAAGGATAGCTTTAAATCATTCCTAAGAAGTGCTGTTGGTCTAGCTAGATTTAAAAAATCTTATCAGGTTTTCGAACAATGTAATTTCTTATCTGTGAAATTACTCGAAACTAGAGGTGCTGCGGAGAAAATTCAAACACTAATTAGGGACCTTGCTTAATTGAAAT